CATTTTTTTACAACAATAACATTACGCTCTTCTCACAGACGAGTGCTGTGTAAATCCAACACATATGTAAAAATTTTATTCTCTCTCCAAACTTCAAAACTTGTTCGCGAAAATTTGAGGATAATAGCACTTTGAAATATTTTTTATCACTTAACATTATATTTTATAATTTTTTTGCACAATTTAAACACATTTAATAGCCCGAAAATAATATATTTTTTACAAACGAAAAAAAAATATTTTTTGTTTTTTGACATTGAATTTTTGTTGTTTGAAATTAAAACTAAAAAAAAACAATGTTGTAAATTTTCGTATGGTAAACGAAAAAGATATTTCAAATAAATAATTTATTTTTTCAATATTATAGATTAAAAAACAAATAGACGTGTTATTAAAATGTTTATAGATAAAATATGTGCAAAATATCTTAAGAAACCTTTCAAAGTATAAATTGAAATGTAATAATTTTTTTCAATATTTTTCAATACTATTTTTTGCAACTATGTTGACTTGAGAATTCTACTAATACATTCTTAGAGTTAGGTACAGGATGACAGTAGACTTAGGTACTTTTGACAACAGTTTCATTTCTTATTTATTCTTTGCGACAAACGTTCAAAAATATTCAAAAAAAAAAAAAAAAATAAATAAAATTTTCAAACATTTCTTAACCCCCCCCCCCCCCATTTTATAAAACGAAACTTTCGTTAACGTAAAAAAATTGTATGAAGAATACTGGGAAATTTTTGAAAATTTGAATTTTTTTCCATACAAATTTTTTTGAACGTTTGTCGTTTCGTTTTATAAAATGAGACCCTAAATTTTTTGCATACAATTTTTTTTGAACGTTTGTCATTTCGTTTTATAAAATGAGACACTTAATTTTCTCCATACAAACGTTTTTCGTTTTGTTTTATAAAATGAGGCCATAATAAAATGAAACTTTCGTTGAATTAAAAAATACTGGGAAAATTTTAATTTTTTCCATTCGTTTCATTTTATAAAATGAGTGCAAATAAATACCTCATTCAAACGAAGCAACTATTCCTCATTCACGCTCTCATTCCTTATTCAACCCCGAATTACGATCTAAATTACATGATTTTACAAACAAAATTTCAACTGTGCTGTACGTAACGCATTTTAGGTGAAAACCTGGCTAAAATTATTAGAAGTGTTTTTTGAGTTAATTGCTGTTTTTTTGTGATAGTGTGAATTAGGCCCAAGGATGAACTCAACTGATTTAGGTTTAAATCGGTCCGTTATTTCAACTAGCCCCCATACAAATACCCCTCTAAAAATTTATCAACGATCAGTTTTGTGTATTCAGAAACGAAGTTGTAAAGATTGGTGAAAATTGGATCACATTTGACTCTAGTTCCAAATCTCGGTATATTTCATCCATTAGTCATTGAAAATTTTGTGCTGCGTTTCGCAACCTAAATGGCATTTTTAGAAATTCATACAGACCAAATGGTGTTATAATGTCTAGCCATCAACAAGGACACGATTTTTTAAATCTGGTAAGAGATGAAAAAGTGTTAAAAATCAGTTCCAATTATGGGTTTTGTTTATCCTCTATTTTTTCAAATTTAAATTTATATCCTTTTTTTAATTTAAATTTATATCATGCTCTAAGCCAAATTGTCGCAAAATATCTACTGCATTTAAAATTTCTTTAATCTTATTCAACAGAAACTTCTTCATTTCGATCGTTACTAGTTAATTTACGATTCATTTTATTATTGTAGTAGTGGCTTGTGACTTTGAAAACTAATTTTGAAAAAAAAAAAATTCCTGTATAACAATATCGTGAAGTTTTTTCATATAACATGACTTTCAATAGCCACGGGTAGATGATATATGAAATTGATCGACAGAGACATTTAAATCTAATAAAATCGACAATATAACTAATATGACTATAACAGTGATGACGAAAACTACAGTATGTATTTAAAATTTGTTATAAATACTGATATCGAAAGGGAATGTTCATAATAAATTTCCCCTTCCCTGTCTCGTCAAAATTAAGCATAGTTCTCAACCCATTTGTAATGGGACATTTTTAACAGAAATAGCTAAGACATGAATCTAATGTAAATATAACAGTTATTGCATTAGCAATATGCCCTAAAGTATGCAATGCTTTTTTGGCTAAAAACAATTCATTTTTAAAAATATGTGATTAATGAAGCAAAACAACAAACCATAAAAGTTGAATTAAATGGGATAAAAGGATTTGTAATAATCCCCATATTCCATTTCTTCAAACCTGTGAGTTAAATATGTATATGATGTTTACAAGTGACATTAAGGGTGTCATTTTATAAAATGAAACGACAAACGTTAAAAAAATTTGTATGGAAAAAATTTAAAATTTCAAAAATTTCCTAGTATTTCTCATACACATTTTTTACGTTAACGAAAGTTTCGTTTTATAAAATGAGGGGGTAAATATGGCTTATGAGGAGCCGTAGCTGGCCCGAAAATTCATTTCATTCTGGTTGTGTCTAAAAATAACTTTTTCTTTATTCTATAAATACCATTTACAATTTGAAAAAATTTCCTGCCTTAGAGAAGTAATTAGGGATGCCAATCCGGACTGAATTTTACAAATCCAGGGATTCGGGATTTTGAAAATTACAATCCAGAGATCGCGGGATGTTTCGGGATACCGGGTTTTTGCGGAATTTCGGGATTACATAAGTAGGAAAGTATAGTCTGGCATGGCCGACTATATGATACCCTATACCACTGAGTTTGTTAAAAATGTGGATTATTTTTAATAATAAAGCATTTAAGTAGTTTACCTTAATTCCGAAATATTTTAACAATTTGTTGGAAAAAGTAATTTTCTTAAAGAGGGGTTATATGGGGCAAGGGTAAATAAAAGCCTATCCTTATACATTTTGGTACATGGCTTTACGTTTACATTAGAGTTATGTATGCTGAATTTCATCGTGATACTAGTGTTTATTAGGGAATTATTGACCTGAAGGGGACTTTGTATGGGGGCTAGGGTCAAATAAATTTCGATAATTACGAAAATCGGTAGTATTATTAAGACGTATATAGAACTAAGTTTTGCCGAATTTTGTAGAGATACTACAATATTTAACATAATTATGAACTCAAAAGCCCTTTTTGGGGGGTAGTGTTGTATGGGAACTAGGTGAAATAGTGGATCGATTTAAACCATTTTCAATAGGCTTCGTTGTTGGGCCGAAAAACAAGTATGGTCCAAATGTCATCAAAATATCTTGAAAATATCGACCTGTACCTTGCGCACAAGGTATACATGGACAGTCAGCCGGACAGACGGACGGAAGGACTCAGAATCGACTCAGAAGTGAATCCCGAAAAAAATGCCCGGATTGGAATCCCTGGTAGAAATACAATCTTGTTTGTGAGTAAAAAGTGTTTCTGTAAGGACTCAGAATCGACTCAGAAGTGAATCCCGAAAAAAATGCCCGGATTGGAATCCCTGGTAGAAATACAATCTTGTTTGTGAGTAAAAAGTGTTTCTGTAACTTAAAGTGAGAAGAGGCAACACGACTTAAGGTCCAAACACATGCAATACTTTACGACGAACTGCGACTGACAGCTCATGTTAACTGTATGTATTTAAATGAGAACGGTCACGTCAAACTTCTTCACGAAGTACAAAAGTTGAAAATTATTCAACTTTGGCGTACGAAAAAGAAGAGAAAGAGAAAATGAGAAGAAAAACAAAAGTGTCAAAATTATTGTTTGCCTTTTTTATTGTGTTTAAATTAAATATTTTTTATATTAAATATTTGTATTTATAGGTTTGCGTTTTCTGTTTCCAAGAGCAAATATAAATTAAATGTAGTGCGGCTGCAGTTGCGGCTTTGCAGCCATTTTAATGTTTTTTGTTTTTGTATTTCATAGTTTGTTTATTCAACACATTGTTTTTGTTCATGAAAAGTATGAATGGCATGGCAATTCTAAATATAAAAGAGAGTAAATTCGTAAACAAATTAATGTAAATTTTAATTTGGTCCTGCTTTCTTCAATGATTTAAGTTGCCAAAACTCAATATAAAAAATATCCGTCTCCGTAATCGCAATATTGTATTTCTACCCTTATACTACGTTCACACATTCGTTTTTTTTTTTTTTTTTTTTTTGAAACGCATCATGTTTTTAAAAAACACTTCAAATTCGACTGGTTTTCCATACATTTTTCATGTTCAAAAACATCTCATTCGACGTGCTTTTATTATAAAACACATAATGTTTTTAGAACAGAAATGATTTTTTCCATACTAATGTTTAATGGACACAGATAGAACAAAGAGTAATGTCAAAACCAAAAAAATAAATTTATAAAAAATATTAGTTTTACAGTTTAAATGATAATAAAATGTTTTAATTTTATACATAAATAATTGTTTTAAAATCTTCAATTCAGTGTAATTTAAGTGAATTTATTTATTTTTAAAAGTATTTTTTAAAAACATTTCAAAGCTAAAAATACGATAATTTAATAATGTGCACAATTGTGTTTAAACTCATTGTGTTTTTCCAAAAACGCGTTTAAAACATGATTATGTGAACATAGTATTAGACTAAGCGTTGGAAATGAGTTGGTGTGAAGTGTATTTGCCGTGTTTTTCTCAATGAATGTATCGGATAAATGAGAAATGCACTGTACAAGTGTTACCATTGAATTTTCCTTCCTTGTCCGGATATGTTAAGTGTTTACTGAATTCTTATTTCGTGCGTCTCAGAAGTTACGCAGCTCGTAGCAATGGTCAAGAAATTAGATAGCTCGAGTACTTGAGCAAAGTGCTTGTACATGGACCGACGCAACGGAAACATGTACAAAAATTGCCACCTTCGTGTTAGAAGCACAGGGAAATAAAGCCAACAGGTGTTCACTTAAAGTTCTTTGACTTATACTCTTTCAAATTTTAAGTGGCCCATCGATCACATCATTTGATGAATGTAATTAATAAAATAAATATGTGTATATTTGCATCATAACTATAAACTATTTACTTTATTTTGAGAATATGAACTACTTTAAACAATTAAACAAATTGATAATATAAAAACTTCTTATATGTATGCATATTTTGAAATTAATTATTTAAGATATTCCTTTAAACGATTTGCATGAGCTTCTTGAGCTCTTCCAGATGGGTCTTCTGGACAACCCCAATCTAGTCGAGGAGCCCACTTTTCAACTGTTAAAGCTGCCGATTTACCAGGAAACTGCTCTTCAAATATACATCTGTAGTAGAAAGCTTCTTTCGTCTTTGGAGTATTAATTGGAAAACGTACGGAAGCTTTGGTAAATTCCATATCACTGACATGTTTGGCGGCAAAACGAGGCAATGCTTCAATTAAATCGTAGCCAACGCCGTCTGAAAATTGTTCTTTTTGACGCCAGAGTACTTCGGGTGGAAGATAGTTGTTTTCAAAAGCTTTGCGCAAAATATATTTTTCCATTCGGTCAGCAATAGTGCCATTGAAACAGTTAAGCGGTCCTGGTATTTTGTCTTCCGGTCGTATGGACATCACGTAATCCACAAAACCTGTATCGAGAAAAGGAACTCTAAGTTCCAAGCCTTTCGACATCGTAACTTTATTGGCTCGCAGAATGTCTGAGACATGCAGTTGATCGACCCGTGTTACCATCTCCTTGTGAAACTCTTCATAATTAGGGGCCTTGAAAAAGTACAAATATCCACCAAATATTTCATCGGCACCTTCGCCTGACAAAATCATTTTGATACCAGTGCTCTTGACATAACGGGCCAAATAAAACATGGGTAAACTGCATCGTACAGTGGCTATGTCATATGATTCCAAATGATATATCAAATCACGCACTCCATCTAGACAGTCCTCAACCGTAAAAGAAACTTCGGTATGATCGCTGTTAATATAATCAGCCACCATTCGAGCATACTTAAAGTCGGGCGAACCCTTCATGCCCACCGAAAAAGTACGTAATCGATAATTTGGATCCCTTTCTCGCATTATCTTCGTAGCAAGTGATGCAATTAGGCTAGAGTCAACACCACCCGAAAGCAAGGCTCCAAAAGGTACATCACACTGCAGGTGTGTACGCACTGCTGATTCTAAACGTTCTTGTATCAAATTAACATCGGCTGGTTGACAGGGAATTTCCTGTTGCCATGGACGGTTGTAAAATCGCTGAGGATTTAAATTTCCTCCCAATTCCCCCATAACATAGTGTCCTGGTGGGAAGTTCTTTATATTTGGGCAAAATTCGACCAAGCACTTCATTTCCGATGATATCCACATATTGCCCTCGGCGTCCTCTCCAATGTATAATGGCATAATACCAAACGGATCACGAGCAATAAGTACAGTTTTAGAACTTTTGTCATACAGAACAAATGCAAACATTCCAGTTATAAGTTCAAACAGGCCTTCTCCGTAATCTTCGTACAATTCAACGATTACATTGCAATCACTTCGTGGATTGTAATTGGGACGTTTTTTTTCTATCGATTCAGCTAATTCGAGATAATTGTATATTTCAGCATTGGCAATCAATGTAACATTTCCGTCATCGGAGTATAAAGGCTGACGTCCTGTCTTTACGCCAATAACAGCGAGTCGTTCATGGACTAAAGCCACACCATGTTCTGGCATTATAGCCACACCTGTTTCGTCAGGACCCCGATGTCTTTGTTTTCCACTTTGTCTATACGCAAATTCACGAAGTGTGTGTACACAACCATGACATATTTTCGGTAGTATTGGTTGTCCTTTTTTCGAGAGGATTGCGAATATTCCACACATTTTTGTTTTTAATAATACGCGTCACTGTTTATAAAATGTAAATATTTATTAAGAAAAGTTTTAATTCAATCAACGGTAGTTAAATCTTGACTAAGTTTTCGTGGCTTTTGCTTCTCCTTTTTATATGTAAGGTGAATTAGATTTGTTGTTTTTTTAATAATTAATTCATTATTAGTTCACCAAACTTGAATTTTGTACTGTTATTATTAAATGTTATTATTGTTGTTTGATTTTTGGTTTGTTTTTATAATTTTTGTTAATTTTTATTTGTTTTATTGTTTTGGCTGCTCACGTGTATTTCTAAATCTGAGATGGGGCATTAACTTCTTTATATGTATTTCTTTTAGCAATTAATCAGTATCATACCGAAATCGTAGGAGGATGTAACTACATCAAATCCGAAAATCCTAGGCCACTATCGGGACTATTGTGCGCTCCATTTCATGAAAAAAAAAATTGTTCACTGAATGTATTTTTCAATGTTCAGAAACTCATTTTCTGGAAGTAATTCCTATGAATTTCCCAATCAGTGTTAGGTAGTTAAGTAGATTTCTCGTTTTGCTCTCATCAGGGTCACCCCATAGGATTTCATTATTCCAAGAGGCCTTATGGAATTCTTTCACCCATATTTTTAATTCAACTTTTGTTGCGTCGAATGATTTTGCGGTAGTCAGGATAACTACCTCGAACTCCATTCCCTTTATAGCTATTACATTCGCTCTTTCGTTGCCGACTACTCCCGGTACCCATGTGATGTAAACCTTACCTCTGGGCTAGTATTCAGTTAAACCTTCTGTCTGTCAGTAAATATATTAAGTCCAATTTACACATTCTGTTATTGCTCGGACTTCTGCCTGGAAGCTTGTGTTATGATTAAGTAAACAGTGGTATATTTCTGTTTCTGTGTCTTCAATATAGAACCCCAGGCCCACTTTGTCTCCCAATTTAGAGCCATCCGTGTAGCAACGCATTTTTACTGGTATTTACTCTAATGTTCCGCTTGACCAAGACATTCTATCTGGGATCAGCGTTTCAAAGTTTGCGACATATTCTATGTTAGGTATGCGATCAGGCACGTCCGATGATTGTGTGTAACTTTCCAATGTGTCCAGTATACATTGTATACATTATATAACCGCTTTTGGCCAGTTCGCCTAAAGTGAAGAGCCTTCGGCTTAAAGCGCCGCCTCATATCTTAAATATGTTTCAATGTGTTGAATATCTAGCAACTTTTCCGGAGCCTTATTTGAAGTAGTACACATGGCACCACTTATACCCAAGCAGCATGTACGCTGAACTCCCTGTAGTAGTTTGATATTACACTTTTTGTCCAAAGATTTGTAAACCAGATTATTGAAACATAAGCTAGAATTGGTCTTATTACACTATGGTTCTCCTACAAAGCGTTTAGCACCGATGTGCCTTGTAGATCCTATCCTCTATGTGGTGTCTCCATTCTAATTTCCGGTCAAGGATTACACTTAACACTGTCTGTCACCGGTATCTTCTTTCTCAAGAAACAGGGTTCAATATACTTGGAAATTTTTGTCTTTCTTGTGAGAAGACAAATTTCTAATTTCGCCGGGTTAACATTGAGGCCTCTCGCTTAAAATCATTATGACATCGTCTGCATAACAGACAGGTCTCATGTATATGTCGGTTAGGGTTATATCGTATATCTCGCAGCTTATTCATCTGTTCCTTATCATGCATTTGATCCAGTTAAGGGGAATCTGTAAATAAAAATAAATTAATAATAAATTTATACGATTTTTGTGTGTCGGTATTGAAATTATTGAAAAAATTATAGGTATAACAAATTATATATAGTTCGTTCCAGTGCAGCTGTAAGGGTATCATGTGGTCGGAAATGTACGACAATCTGTGTATTAATAAAAATCTACACTTCACTTCAAAAATTGCATAAATTCGTTTAGTAATTACTTGTTTACAGCTCTGACAAGATTCTTATTATTTTTTTGAATAAATCATTAATTCGGTATAATTAAAGATATAATTTAAAATCTATTCAAAATATGGGATCACAAGATTGATATTAACTCTATCCTGCACTTCCATACTAAAACATATTTTACACTTATAAAAATAGGCATAGAAAATTCCCTAGGTCCGTGAAAAAGATTTGATACTTTATAATACGTATTATTAGTTCGCATGTATTATTTAATAATTTTGTATGAATATGTATTTGCAAATCAAATTTTGCAAATTTATGTTTTATTTATGAGTGTTGAAATTTCTGCCAACGATTTTTTGTAAACAGACATTTTTAGTTTAGTTTATCTATTTAGCTACATTTTTTATACATATTTAAACATTTAATCGCTGTAATTAATTCATTTTGAACTTTTTAAATCTATTTCTAAAAGTGTGATTGTTAAGAGTTCAAAATATTGTTAATTGTATATATGGGAATATTTGTGCTGAATTGTTAATATTGTTTTAGAATCTTTATCGTAAATAATAATAATTTTTTTTAACAAAAAAAGTTTAAATTGAATTTTTAATTCTAATTAGGGCAATAATGAAGTGACTAATGTTCACGACTTAATACAAATAATAATAATAATTTTGCGTACTTAAATCGTAATCTATGAAAGTTCCAACAAATTTTTAATATTATTGTTTTAGAATATTACTGTGAGAAAAATATAAAAAAATATTCTAAAAGTTGACCATAAAGTTGTAAAAAAGCGCAGTTCAACATAAATCCGGAAATGCTTTACAAAGTTAAGTTATAAAATTCTAAAAACTTTTCTTATACAGAGCCATTATTCAAATCATGTCACTCTGTGGTTTATTGGGTAGGCTTTAAAGGGGGTTAATCTATATTTGTTTTGTTTGTGTGTGTGTTTGAAGTCTATTAACTCCTAAACGACTGGACCGAATTTATTGAAAATTTTCAAAGAATCTTCCTATATGTTTGGAAGGATTATAGGCTACTTTTTATTTCCAAATTTGAAGTAGGCGAGATGCCACGCCCATATACTAAATAGATAATAAAATAAGCATATCTCAGAAACTGCAATAGCTAGAGTCCTAAAATTTTATATGGACAATTTTGAATATTTGGGGACAAAGTGGACCGACTGGCTGTAGGGTACATGGTACCTTCCATATAAGGAAAATATGTATTAAATAAGGACATCTGAGAAAATATGACTGTTTAATACTAACGGAGCCAATTTAGTATCATTATGATTGTTTAAGACAAAATAGGCGGACTGAAAATAGGGGAGCGTGGCACCCCTCATGATTTTGATACAAAAATTAGTATATCTGGGAAACTATCAGATCTAGAATTCTCAAGTTATCCACGGTCAACACTAAAATCCATATGAACAATTTTGAGAATAATTGCCGGACTAGAAATAGGGGGTGGCACCTCCCATATGAATTAAAGACAAAAATCAAACATTTGCATGTGATTTATACCATTACCGTACTGAATACGAGAAAAAAATTAAATTTTTGAATTAATAATCAGTTTCTTATTCTCAGTAAAATATGTCAAAAAATAAATTTCTTTAATTTTATCTAAATGTAACTCAAAAATTCCTTAGTTTTAAGATTATTAGGGGAAAAATTAAATTTGTAAAGATATTTCTGGTCCACAAAAGGACCAGAAATATCTTCGCGCGTTACGCGAAGAAATTTGCATGAATGTTATTCCTATTGGATAATAGTTTAGACACAATTTTTCAATTATATTTATTTTGATATATATCCCATTAAGTGACTAAAAAGCTCTAAAAGATAAGCTTTCTTTTGAACAAAATAAAAAGAGCACATTTAGGAAAAAAGTTTAATTTTTAACTTTGTGTGAAAGTTTAAATTGTGCTTCCGTGATGAGGGTGCTATCATTTAGAAATCATATACCTTTTATGGAGATAAGGCCAATCCGAACACGATTTTCTGAAGTGGATCTTATATGACAGATATGACTAATTATGGCCCGATCCGAAAAAAAACTTATTTATTTAGCCTATTTTTAAAATATATATATATATATATATATATATATATATATATATATATATATATATATATATATATATATATATATATATTTCTTAATTGGATATTTGCATTTAAGCGATTTTGGGATGTGGTCCTTTTATGGGAGCTGTGACCAATTATGGACCGATCCGAAAAACATTTCGCAGGGTGTTTCATATCTACTTTAAACACATTCATGACTAATTTTATACCGATATCTTCATTCAGTTACGAAATATGTGCGTTTACGTGGTTATCGGAAATGGGCCTTATATGGGAGCTATGCCCAATTATGGACCGATTTAAAAAATATTTTGCAGAGTGATATACATATGTATACACAATACATATATATGTTGAATATTATTTCAATATCTTTATTTCTAAATTAGTTATGTGCATTTAAGTGATTTTCTGAAGTTGACCTTACATGGGAGCTGTGACCAATTATGGGCCGATCCGGAAAAAATTTCACATTCATGATGAATTTTATACCGATGTCTTCATTCAGTTATGAAATATGTGCGATTACGTGGTTATCGGAAATGGGCCTTATATGGGAGCTATGCCCAATTATGGACCAATCCGAAAAATATTTTGCAAAGTGATATATGTATACACAAAACATATTTATGTTAAATACTATTTCAATATCTTTATTTCTTAATTAGTTATTTGTATATAAGTATTTTTCGAAAATGGACCTTATATGGTAGCTGTGACCAATAATGGAACTATACAGATCTACGTTGGTAATATGATTTTTGTTCATACGAAATTTCGTGGTGATACCGATATTTTTGCAGAAGTTATTAACGATAAATCTATTTTCGAGAATATGTACCTTTGTATGGGCGCTGTAAGAAATTTTGAATCGATTGTTTTGAGTTTGAACATTTTTGATCCCTGGGTAAATAAAATAACGTGAGAAAATTTATTCCATTATTCTTAGTAGTTTCTGAGAAAACTACTCAAGAATTAGGATAAAAAACGTCTGAAATTTTTACTCAAAACTTTTTATGTTGTGGACCGATTAGGCTGATTTTTAATAACAAACTGCTTAGGATAATAGTGAATATTTTCAGTGGATTTTGCTGATTTGCTTTGCTTACTTTTAACGTGAGAGTGTTTGGGGCAGACAGACGGACACAGCTAAATCGACTCAGAATTTTATAAGGATCCAGAATATACACGAAATGACAAATTTATATACCCCCTCTATCACCACTGATGATAGTGGATGGTATAAAAATACATATAAATTCGTAAAATCGATTATCTGCGGAATGACCAGAGAAAAGAACACTACTGGCTACCGCGTAGTGATAGGGCCTAATTTTGCTTATAACCCTGATGTACGTATTTATATCAGATGTTATTTTTCTAAATCCAGTTTTTATATTAAAATTTAAAAATATTCCGTTCTTGAGTTGCAGCAGTCTTCAAGTAAATGAACGATATATTTATGTAGAAACTTATGGCTCCATAGACAAAAAAACTTAATTACATACTTGGTCAAAAGTTTTCATTTAATGACTCCTGCCTCATTACTTGACCAATAGACGATTATATCAACAAGTTGTTGTCTATTCCTACAACCGTTAGTTTCGTTTAAATGCATTTACAGAGAAGCTTATTAAACCAAACACTGTTAGACTTAACAGAAAGCTTTTTCCTAACTGTTGAATTAAAATTCACATGTTGCTGCTGGAAATTTAACGTTCATACTCAAAGGTTCGTTCGGCACAAATTCAGTTGCCGCCAGTAAACTCGACCGTACGAAACACGTAACGGAAATTGCGTATACGCCTTGTGGTATTTGTTGAGCACATTTTTTGTTGGTTGTGCCGTGTCGTGTAATTAATAATTAAATAAATACAAAATGTAAAAAATACCTACTACAAACAAATAGTGCGAAAGTGTTAAATTTAAACATGACAATTTTCTTTGTTTTTTTATTTTGGAGATTCTTTTACCATTTAATATTTCTTTTTAAAGATGTGTCATTATAATTGCAAAATACATATAAATTCTTATTTTGTTTAAAGGTCTATTTCTTTATTTTTATTGTTTTCTTTTTTTGTTTATTTTTTTTATAATAATTACTCATTTTTTGTTTTTGTTTCAAATACCAAAATAGATGTAAATAGTCAAAAGTTATCGTTTGAATAGATTTCTATGTTTGTTTAATCTTTCTAATCAGATAAATGTTGTTAGACAAACAACAACAATAACGGTATTTTTGTGAGATAAAAATATTTAAATTAATTAAAAAACAAAAGTCACTTGGCGCAGCATTCGGAAGAAGAATGCACGGAAGAATAAATAAAAATAAAAGAAGTTCGACCGTTCAGTGTCTGTTTTTTATTCTAATTAAATAAATATAAAACACTTTATGTTATTAAAATTTTGTTGTTGTTGTTGTTGTTAATTTTATATTTATTCATTTTCATTACCGTTGTTAGTAATTGTTGTTTCATATTGAACTTGTTGACGACTACAGTGGAAATTTAAAGTGAAATAATTTAAATACTAAATCAAAAAAAAAAAAAGGTTTCATATTCTCGCTAATTTTCTTGTTTCAAATACTTGCTCGTATGTCAGAGAAATAAATTATAGTACATGTGAAAAATAGCAAAATATATTAAAAAAAGTGTTGTTTGTCTGCAATATGCAAATGTTAATGTTCTACACAAACGTCAACACTAATAATGATGATAGTGATGATGATGATCGTCATCATTAACCCTGTCGCGTTGGAATTAAATTGAAATTAAATAGTGGAAAAAATTAATCAAAATTATACCCGGTAGTACCAATAAAAGTTTAACAATAATAATTGTCCCAAGTGATGCATAAATGAGTAATAAAGTAATAACAGCTATAATTTGTGATGAAAAAAAAAAATCATTAGAAAAAAGTTCTTACTACTTAATAGTAATTTAAATGTGTGTGCCACGAATTTTAAGTAAAAAAGTAATTTTATGAAATACTTGTATAAATATTGCATAACGATTAAATTCAACTACAAATATTTATAGTGCAAACGTAAGTATCAAATTCAATATTATTTGAATTTTAAAATTTATAACAAAATTGTTATGCAGAAATCGTTTCACAAAATAAAATTATAAGGGAAGATGTGAAATGTTTGTATCGGCGGGATCAAAACAACATATCGCTTATTAATTTGAAGAAGTGCATCTCTCACAAATCGTGTTTTTGTAGTGAGTTTACTTAATAAATTTTAAATGTCTATTTGTTAAAATAAAACCTATGGTTTTACCAATATTTGATCCTGAAATACTTCTTCGAAATACTAGATTTATTTTTCAAAAATTTAGATTCGGACCCACTGTACAGCATATGAGGGATTTCCTGTAAAGTAAACCAACTTTTAAATCCGACGTTTCCGATCGGGATTAAATAAACCATTTTGGAAAAAAAAGTTCAAAAAATTTTAATTTTGCAAAAAAAAAAATCAAAATAATTGATTTAATATTCTTTCCGAAAGATTGAGTTACCCACTGTAACTCAGAAAGTTCTTGACTGATTTTGTTGAATTGTGTCTAAACTACTATCTAATCCCAGCAGTTCGACAAGGAGTCAATGCACACGTAAAAGAAAGTTATTTACTCAAATAAGTTAAAGAGTTTCTTATCGTGCTTTCAACCCCAATTTTTAAATAAATTCACTGTAATGTATTGATGGTGGGGAAGCTAGTTCCTATGCGCATTTCGCCGGTTGCTTAAGCCAGCTCATCAGGAAACCTTTCCCAATATTTTAGGAAAACTAGAAATGTCTTATGAAAGAATTATTTTAAACTCAATAAGAATTCAAAACGCATCTTTCACAAAACATTAAAGTTTTGACAAAACACCAACAATAACAGTGAGTTTATTTTTTTTTTTTTTTTTTTTTTTGTAAGAAAAATAAACTCACTGTTATTGTTGGTGTTCAGTGAGTTTATTTATTTTTTTTTTTTTTTTTTTTGTAAGAAAAATAAACTCACTGTTATTGTTGGTGTTTTGTCAAAACTTTAATGTTTTGTGAAAGATGCGTTTTGAATTCTTATTGAGTTTAAAATAATTCTTTCATAAGACATTTCTAGTTTTCCTAAAATATTGGGAAAGGTTTCCTGATGAGCTGGCTTAAGCAACCGGCGAAATGCGCATAGGAACTAGCTTCCCCACCATCAATACATTACAGTGAATTTATTTAAAAATTGGGGTTGAAAGCACGATAAGAAACTCTTTAACTTATTTGAAAAAATAATAAAAATCCCGAAATCAATTTTTAAATTAAATTTGCAAGTGCCCGTGCATTTAAAACTGAATACCCTATTCTGTTGTTTTTAAAAAAAAAAAACAACAAAATAGAAGTTGTTTATTTTGTTTTTATTTTTTCCCTTACAACTGCATTTAGAGTTGGAAAACAACCAGCCAAGTGTAGAAAGGAATGTAAGAAAAAATAAACTCACTGTTATTGTTGGTGTTTTGTCAAAACTTTAATGTTTTGTGAAAGATGCGTTTTGAATTCTTATTGAGTTTAAAATAATTCTTTCATAAGACATTTCTAGTTTTCCTAAAATATTGGGAAAGGTTTCCTGATGAGCTGGCTTAAGCAACCGGCGAAATGCGCATAGGAACTAGCTTCCCCACCATCAATACATTACAGTGAATTTATTTAAAAATTGGGGTTGAAAGCACGATAAGAAACTCTTTAACTTATTTGAAAAAATAATAAAAATCCCGAAATCAATTTTTAAGTTATTTACACTAACCATATAACCATATGGTTGGCACTAATTTCTATATATTGAGTTATTCGTCACCAACGTACTCTTCGTAAATGAGAGCGAAGACAGTCGTCCCTTTACTGTACCCTAGGTAAACGATGAGGGGACACTTAAAAATTGTTTTTTTCCATTGTACATCAGAATGTAGATATTATATATTTACACATCTACCATAAGTGGTACACAGGGGGAAAACGAAATTTACACGCCTGGTACCAAATTGACACCAAACTGTTTATAATTTTTCAATACCATCCGTTGTCAAAGTATATACATACGTACGAAAACACTATGTAGTGTTGCAACAATTCGTTGTCGAAATCTAAATTTTATACACATCCGTTGTCTCACTATTGACAAACAATCCGTTGCCAATAGTGAGCTTACCACGTTTGTTAACAATTAGACAAAGGATGTGTATAAAATTTAGATTTCGACAACGAATTGTTGCAATGTTGTCAACATTACATAGTGTTGTTGTACGTATATATATTAGACCGACTCACAAAAAATGGTGCTTGAGTTACCACCATCAAAATATTCGCTGTTATGTAATATGATGTTTCCCAAAATATTTTGGGTTCAGTGTTGTCCGTTCGTGAGCTGGACATTTTTCAAGAAAATATCCTATGGGGGACACAATTTTTCATGTTCAATTAAATATTTTACCCAGCTTAGAAAAATCTTTGTTTCGTTTTATGATGGTTCCCAAAATCTTTCTAGTCTATCGGTTGCCGTACGTGAGCTGGACCGTTTACAAAAACGTCTCTTTTTAGTTATTTGTTCAAATTTGCAATTGTGTGGTATCATTTGAAAGCTTTTTTGAAGCCCCGTCTAGTGGTGCAAAATTGTGAATTAATTTTATTTATATTAATGAAAAACCTAACAATTATAATTTTTTGGAATATGACAAATATGAGCAGACGGTTATTTATGATTAATACATCATTGGACGCGGCTTTAAAACCCCTTTCAAACGATACCCCATATTGGATATATTGTTTCAAAACAAAACTAAAATTTGAAAAATATAATTCAAAAATACCTTTTTTAAATTTGGTCTAGCTCACGAACGGTCATCGTTAGACTTAAATTATTTTGGGAATCATCATAAAACAAAGCAAGGTAAATTTTGAGAGGGGTAACAAAAACACGTTTTTACTTTCCACACAGAGTGAGTCGGTCTAATGTACATACTTTGACAACGGATGGTATTGAAAAATTATAAACAGTTTCAGGCGTGTATATTTCTTTTTCCCTCTGTGCAGGTTAAGTGGTCAGTACGGGACTATCCCGCCGATCTGCTGGGATAGGACTAACGTTGGTGGAAATTTCATCCCGATCGAAAGACATCAGTTTCAAAAAATCGATTTCGATGATATGTCGTTAGCTTAGTACGCAAACGTAACAAGTCCTCTTTTGAAAATTTTACAGGAGAAGCAAAAAACTTCATAGCTTCTCTTGTATTTCATATTTTTTAAATCTGTAAACGTATTTTTTATACCCTTCACCTTCGTGAGAAGGGTATATATAAGTTTGTCATTCCGTTTGTAATTTCCAAAATATAATTTTCCGACCCCATAAAGTATATATATTCTGAATCCTTATAGATAGCGGAGTCGATTAAGCCATGTCCGTCTGTCTGTCTGTCTGTCTGTTGAAATCAGTTTTCTGAAGACCCCAGATATCTTCGGGATCCAAATCTTCAATAATTCTATCAGACATGCTTTCGAGAAGTTTCTTATTTAAAATCAGCAAAATCCGTTCATAAACAACGGAGATATAAGCAAAAATCCGAGACAACCTCTGAAATTTTCATAAAAAATAAACAACAACAACACTGCTTATTCATTGCCTTTGTATTTTGTTTTTGTTTTTTTTGAGTATTTCGTTTCGTATGTTTGGATGGCTGTGTGTTTCATTGCCTTGTGCATACATATTGTTTTTGTTTCTTGGTACATTCAATTTCGTATGTTTGAATGGCTGTGTGTTTCATTGCCTTGTGTATGTTGTTTTTGTTTCTTAGTGTATTCAGTTTCGTATGTTTGGATGTCTGTTGGTTTCATTGCGTTGTGTATTTTGTTTTTTTCTGTATTTCGTTTCGTATGTTTGGATGTCTGTTGGTTTTACTGGCTTGTGTATTTTATTTTTTGTGTGTTTATTTCGTTTAGCGTTGTTGTTGTTCATTATGTTTTGCTATTGCTATAATAATGATAGTCGGGAAAATGAATTTTTAAATACACTATGGTAAGGGTATATAAGATTCGGCACAGCCGAATATAGCACTCTTACTTGTTTTTTTTTTAGATTTCTCCTTTTTTAATATCGGTAGTAAAAAATAGTGCTGTTGAATATTTATGGCGGTTTTTTTAGGACTTAGCACGTTTTCTTTTTCTGAACTTTTATTTTTTGCTGGACTTAGCACATTTGCTTATAACTTTTTCCTTACATACATGTTCTATTTTGAAGATAATTTGATATAATTTGATACAAATATTTTGCTGTGTCCTTCGGACGAAGTGTTTAAAATTTTGTTAGTGTAGGTCCACTATTTCGTATAGCCCTCATACAAGCGGCTGCACGAAGAAGAGATTAAACAAAAATAAACATGTTGAGAAGCTAGTAATCGTGATCAAATTTGGAACAAGTTATTTTTTTGTATTGAAAAATTATATAGTAAAGAATGGCGGACATCGGACTTTATTTGTACTTGCCTCCATATAAGATCCCCTTCAGAAAGCTCTTTTTAGCTCTCATAAATCCATTAAACCTGTCAGTATAGCTTTGAAATTCTATATAGAAAAAACTTTAATGAACTTAAATTGCTACACTAATTTTAATGAGCATCGGTCCATATTTGACCATAGCTCCATTATAAAAATTACTCTAACGCTTATAACTGTTTTTAAAGTAGCAGAATAATGATGAAATCCGACATAAACAAGTTTTATGGGACCCAAACACTATTTACAACATTTTTTGAGGATAGGGCAATGTGTGACCCTACCCCAACGACTTTAAAGCACACAACTGGCTTAAAATAGCAGTATAGCGATTCAATTCAACGTAAACAAGTTTTATAGGAATCAAAATTTCTTTATTAACTACTATGACATTCGGTCCATAACTTAAGCTATTCTCTATATCATCCCTCTTAAAGAAAATCAGTTTATTGTCAATATTTACTTGTTTTACTATATTTTAAAAAAGTATTCCATGATTTCTTACTCAATTGAAGATTTTACAAACT